TAGTAACATGCTTTTTCTTTAATAAAATAAAGATTATAAAACTCAATTGGTTTTCTGAACAGTACACTTGTCATAGGGTCATCTGAGAGTGCTGCCTCGGCCTAGCTTACTTAGAGTCCTGTCAGTGGTGCAAGTTAAGTCTAAGGACTACAAAGCCCACTTGACCTTTTCATAGTAATATCTGAGAGTACCAGGGTGTTCTAATGTGGGCAGACCTGCGAGAAGGAGTGTTGTATCATGGCTAGCTGAATTTGGACTCTTCAGCCCATTTTAGCATGTGCAAACTCCTGATTGCTCTCTGTCCAAGCTTACACGTGTGTTTTCGAACCCGTGTTTGCGACATCATCCATGTCCTCTCCTTGATTGGGTGGTCAGTAGTAAATTCCAACTACCATGCTCCTTTTGGTTTTTTTTGCCCCAACTACATTGATCCAGATGCTTTCAATGGGACAGCCAATCTCCTCTTATATTTCTGTGCAGGAATGTGTATTTTTCACACATGTTGCATCTGAGCCTAGAGGCTTCACCTCCAACAAGGTGTGTTCCAACTGGTTTGTTCAGCATCAGCTGACATCAGTTCCATAAGGCTCATGATTGGAAGAAGCTAAATCTCCTGACTGTAGGAAGCTAAGCCTCGTGATTGAAGGAAGCCTGTTTACGGAGGTAAGGTACAGGCCGTTTTGTTCTCTCCGTGTTCTCAGCTTATTTCCATGTATAAGACGAGCTTCAATTTTTAGTGTAATGCTTTTAGGAAAAAGTAGCATCTTACACACTGAAGAATATGGTATATCATTAAATTCCCATATTTCAATCATGGGAGTTGTCCCACTAAATTTCAGTTATTCCTAACAAGTCATATTTACCCTACTAAGTAAGATTTCCAGTTCTTCTTGTTTGTTTCCCATACTCCTGGCATTCGTATATAGACACTACAGATTGTGGTATGTTGCCTGCTTTTCTTTGTATATTTATATTAATATGATTATTAATGTTAATGTTATTCTTGACCCCCATTAGAACTGTTCGGTCCATTCCACTTACTGTGCATAAGCCTTCATCTATCTTTACTTCTGTGCTTGTGTTTCCCTCCCCCTTCCAATTCAGTTTAAAGCCCGCCTGATGAAGTTCTTCATGCTTTGGCCAAAAGGTCTTCCCAGTCCTTGTGAGGCAAAAGTTAGGTTTATATGCCTATCAATACAGCAAAAAGCAGCTCCACAAATTGGCATGCTCTTATCAGCACAGGTAAGGATAAAAGGCAAATCCAGAAGAGCAAAGCCACCTTTTGCTTTCACCTTTATAGGGAGGGTGGGAGGAAAGAAGAAAGGCAATCTACCCTTTACCTTTGCCGTTTCCCATCCTGTTTAGCTTTCTCCAGAAGGAGATTGATAGGTTTAATGACATCATTGTGCTGAATACTCAGTTTGATACTCTCAATTAAAGCGCTTATTGCTTGTTGCTCTTCTGAATTCACTGAGGGTATTTTGTCTGTAGAGTCTATAAGAATAAAACAATACATTGAAGAAACTAAATACAACAAGAAAAACAAGGGGCAAAAGGAGAGAAAAAAAGAAAGCCAGGAAAAGAGAAGAAGTGTATTTGGAGTGAGGAAGTGGAAATGGAGAAAAAATGGAAAGAACAGCATGGAAAGAGTGAAAATTGAGATGAAACATTGGAATTATACTGGTGAATTCCCAAGATTATGCTGGCATACTGAATGGGGCTGAATCAGTACTCATTTTGGAGAATTTAAAATATTTGCATGGTACTTTGGTATCTTAGCATTTTGCCACAGCAGTAGTTCCTCAATGCTGGTCCTATTTTGCAGTTTAGCTTGGGACCTGAAGATGTGACTTGTTTGATTGTACAGTCCCTTCTCTTCAAGTTCAAATTTTGCTTTCAGATAAGTACTGAACTTAATCTTTTTCAAACAGAATTAAACAGGTCCTCTGGTGTGATTTCTAAAATGTGACCCATATTGAAATGTTTTATCAAAAATAATCAAAGATTTGAGAGCTTGCTCAAGACAAATAAAACCAGTCAGATTATAAAAAATGGCACAACACACACACACACACACACACACACACTCATTTGCACCATAATCCAGCATACAATTTTTGCCACATTACTGTTTTTGCCAGCCCCTTGAAACTGTGCATGTCATTTGATACCCTTCAACTGCAAGTGAAGAGATCATTTAATAAGGGATTTTCAAAACAGCAAACACAGTTTCCGGACTTTGGGCTTCATTACGAAATGTCTGATTTACTCACTGAGATTTCTCCAGGATATGTACAGGGGCTCTCCAGGCTCTTGGTGAAGATTAATGTTGTCCCACAGAAGTTGGATATACACTAGCTTGCTGTCTTGAGATAAGCTAAAATATGGAGGAAGCTGAAATATGGAGGAAGCACAATTTCTTGTCACTTTGTAATAGACAAGATATCTTTGCCCTTGGTTTTGCAATGTCAAGCACACCGTGGTAATTTTATTTTGTGCTGGCTCTGATAAACTGGGAGCAACTGAACATCAAAAGCAGAAAAAGATTTGCGCTAGAGCCACAACATATTCAGAAGTTCATTAATAAAGTGGGGTTGAGAAAAAACATTTACTTTTCAATACTTAGAGGAAGGACAGTGGCCCACAGCAACAGGACAAAGAACATACAATTCTATTTCTAAACAGAAATACCTTATAAAATTGCCACTTAAAGTGTATTTGCTAAATGTTCCGCATTTTCTGTGTGGATTTCCAGGAAATCATATTATTTCTTACATGACTGAGCTTTTACCATATTCTAACTCTATTTTGTCTTTCACTTCTCACTCTCCATGCTCTCTCATGGAAGAATGTACAGCTAGAACTTGAGTGTTAAAAACTTTTCATTCTCACTATTTTACTGAATAAGTCAAGAACTCAGATTGGATTGTGTTCTATTTCCCCCTCAATATTCTGAAAAGAACCAGTTGCTTTTTAGAGCTTGCAGTTACACTCTGCAGCATTCATTACATTTCTGTAATGATTTTGAACATCTAACTTGAAGTGGAAGTAAAACTTCAATTAAACACAATCATTTGATATTGTATTTGTACCTCCTTCTGGAATTAACAGGAAGAAGATATGGGTACAAAAAAGCTGGAGCATTGTCTTATTTATCTTTATAGAAATGAACATTTCACCAAATAAATTCAGCATGTTGAAGTATCTGTCCAGGACTTACCTGCACACCTTTATTACAGTGTTCTGAGGTTAAAATGAGCCCTGGCAAATTACTAGGCAGGTCTAGGCGTCGGAAATACCATACTAGATTCCAGAAAATAATGGGATGCTGATTGATGAATGTTGAGGTGTGGATCACTTGTTCTCCCTCGTTTTCCAACAAAGATTCTAGCTCTTTCCGGAGTACCAATGGGCTCAAATAGGGCACAGATACAGGCAAAGGATTTGCCATTTTGGACAAAGGATCCTGAAGAATATCGATAATGGTTAGTTTGCAAACAATAATGGATGATTTTCCACTGCTACTGTCAAAAACAAAAGAAAAGAAAAGCCCAAGGATTCCCCAGGATGTTTTAATCCTAATAGTGGTGCACACACAATAATGCAGACTAAATGTGAACTAACAGATTTTTCTATATCTTTCTTCATCTAGAGGGAAAAAGCCTGAAGGAAGTCTTCTGAAAAGTTAAACCTTCTGTGGAAACTATAATCACCTGAGATGCAAGGTACTGCATAAATAAAAAGGAAATTCTGCACATATATGTTCACCTGTTTCTTGTGCAATATAAAAGAGAGGAAAAAAGGCTTCCTAAACAAACTCTCTTCCAAAAGCAATAAAAATGCTGGAATATTACTACTGAACATGATCTATAACTAGCAAATGATGTCAAGGCACATCTGCTTGCAACAGAAAGTTAACAGCCAGAGAACTTACCACAGCCTCCTGTAAACAGTTAGGAAGGCTAACTGTTGAAACGCCATGAGAAAGCCTCTGTAGAAGGTCAATGTTTTGCAGTGGGCCACCAACGCTGTGGCTCCGAGTCAGAGATGTTCCTTGTTTGGTCGTGTTACTTGTAACAGATGGCCTTTTCTCTTTGAGGTCTTGATCTTCTTCTGCTATAAGAATACTAAACATACAATGAAAGAAATCACAGATATTATTGCAGTGCATTCTTGTTTAGCATTTCAGCCAGCCATGTTCTCTTCAAAGATATTTCACTCCATCTCCACCCCTTTGCTATTTGTTTCCTTTCTAAGAGAGAAACCATTCCATAGCCAGCAAGTAAATTCAGTTCACTAGGCTTTTTTTCCCCCTAGGGAAAGGGAACTGCCCCTTCAGGCATTTTTCCAGTAAACCTTTTTGTACTGTTGTTAATACTCAGACCTAAATCCATGGTGATAGTAGTGGAATGAAAATATACACTAGCCTACAAATACTTGATTTCTCTACTGTACAAGAGCAAAAAGTAGTACATGTGTGATCTTTTGTGGTTGCACAACAAAAAACTGGATGCTGTGCTTATGCTATCTCTAGAAATGCATAACCCAGCAGTGTCACTGATCGTGCACTAGTGAAATGCCACAGTTGGATAAAAGCCTGGTATTCCTGCCAGCATATTTGTGTCTCCTTCTTTTCTAAGTAGTCCTTTTTTCATTGCAACCCTGTCAGCACTTGCCTACTGAGACTGAGGGGGTGATTTCTATAATTATTTAAAGCACCAAGTGTTTTGAACCTTTTGTTGCTTATTGACACTGCAATACTATTAGAGACACTTCTAATTATCTCATTCTACAGGAATGAAAAGCAATTAAAAACCTGCGTCTTCTCATACCAGTAACCTGTCTTGGTCTCTCCTGCATTTAATATCTGAATATGGATCTTCTGGGCACCACAAGTGTGTACACCATGCCAAGCACATAAACATTGGAGCACTGGGCCGAAAGCAACAGAATGAAATTCAACAGGGATAAGTGCAAAGTCTTGCACCTCGGAAAAAGAAACCAACTGCACAGTTACAAGATGGGGGATACCTGGCTCAGCAAAACTACGACTGAGAAGGATCTTGGAATTGTTGTAGATCACAAGCTCAATATGAGCCAACAGTGTAATGTGGCTACAAGAAAGGCAAATGCTATTTTAGGCTGCATTAATAGAAGTATAGCTTCCAAATCCCGCATGGTGCTAGTCCCCCTCTATTCAGCACTAGTTAGGCCTCACCTTGAGTATTGTGTCCAGTTGTGGACACCACACTTCCAGAAGGATGCTGACAAATTGGAACAAGTTCAGAGGAGGGAACAAGGATGATCAGGGAGCTGGAAACCAACCACTGTGAGGAAAGGCTGAAAGAATTAGGCATGTTTAGCCTTGAGAAAAGAAGGCTGAGGGGTGATAGCGCTTTTCAAATATTTGAAAAGCTGTCATACAGAGGAGGGGCAAGATCTGTTCTCGATCATCCCAGAGTGCAGGACACACAACAATGGGCTCAAGTTAAAGGAGCCAGATTTCGGTTGAATATCAGGAAAAACTTCTTAACTATTAAACCAGTATGACAGTGGAACCACTTACCTTGGGAGTTGGTGAATGCTCCAACACTGGAGGTATTCAAGAAAAACACGGATAATCACCTGGCAGACATGCTTTGATTGTATTCCTGCACTGAGCAGGGAGTTGGACTTGATGGCCTTGTAGGCCCCTTCCAACTTCACTTTTCTATGATTCCATGGGTAGCTACAAGTGTTTTTATGGCTTAAATCCAATGTTAGGCTGGTGCTGCGGTGCCAATGTGATGAAACATAATTCCCTTTCTCTGCTCCTGTTTCCCAGAGTGCACTCCAGAGCAAATTGCTGGAGTGCACTGGGAGGAACTCTAATGGGAAGAGCAGTTCCCTCCATTAGTGCTGGATTCCACCATTCTGCCAGCGGAGTCTGGCAACCTAGACCAGTGGTTCTTAACCTTTGTTACTCAGATGTTTTTGAACTGCAACTCCCAGAAACCCCAGCCAGAACAGTTGGTGGTGAAGGCTTCTGGGAGTTGCAGTCCAAAACTCCTGAGTAACCCAAGGTTAAGAACCAGTGACCTAGACCACCTTATGACTGGTTTTCATGCAGCTTAATGATTTTTCTCCTGTATTGGTCTGCCTCTCTTCATGCTGTACCTTTGCAGTGTCGTAGTGCTGTTCTCTTCAGCAATGGTCTTATTGGTACTTGAGGTTTCTGAAAAACTGATCAAATCAGTGGCAGTAGTAGAAACAGTCTTCTGCTCCAGTGAATCAATGGTTAATGGAATGTTATTGCTGTGTAAACTATCACCAGAGGTACTTGGTTTCAAAAGTATGCTAAGAAGGAAACAGGCAGAAAAACAGAAGTAAGAAAACAAGTTTGGAATGCATAATACTGTCGATAACATTTAACTTTACCTCCAAATTTAACAAGAACTTCTGCAATCACTGTACTGGAGCCTAGCATTCAAACAAACATTCTACTCTTGTTACAGATAAGATGTACACATTATTTGATCAAAAAATATCAGGGAAATGCTGAGCAAGTATATAAGAAAAGAATAAAATACTTATTTTACTGGGGAAATCAAGGCTTCACATTTAGAACATGACCAAAGGACAATTTAAAAGGACATTTTATAGGGAAATCCAAAGTTTATCTATTTCCCATAAGTCTACCAACCTTGCAAGGCCGCGCAAGTCTTTAAACTCCACATTAAGAAGAGGTAAGAAAGTGCTTTTGCAAAATGGACATGTAGTATTCAAATTGGAGTCATCGGCAGTCCATCCTGCCATGATTTCTTCATCATAAACCAGTGCTCCACATGCTCGACACTGAGAACAACTTGACATTAAAACCTGTCAAAAAAAATTTATATATATATACATACACACACAAACACTGTATATACACATAAAGATCCACCTACAATATGCACAAGTCAGATGCTAAGCAGAGTCCTGCTGGATCAGAACAAGGGCCCATCTCTTCTGGCATTCTCTTCTCATATTAGCCTGCTTATGGGAAGCCTGCATACAAAGTGTGAACAGGACACCACACTCCTGCTACAAAGTTATGCTACAAAGTCTGTCTTTCTGATCCTCTTCCACAGTACGCCATTAGCAATTCTTCTTGCAAGTCCTTTTGCTATTTACAGGTGACATATAGTTGTCTTGATTGTAATTATTTGAGCAATGTGTGTGAATAAAGCAGTGTGCTGATTATAGCAATGTTTAAAGCACTCTCTAGGTGGTTTCCAAACATAATTACATCCCTCCCCGCCAGCAATCAGAGTCCTCAATAAATTGACCTCCGAAATTTGGAAAATTGAGTCAACTTGAGCCAGCTACCTGAGCCCGTTGGAACCAAACTTAGGTCATGAGCAGAGGCTTGACTGCTATAGTGCAGTTTGACCAGTGTGTCACAATGGTGTGCAGACAATATTTGAGGAGCCAGAGAAATGTATAGAGGCCATGCATCACATGCACAGCCTACATCCAACACACACACCTTCAGCTCTGGATTATATGGCCCCCATCCACACTGGACTGCCATGAAAAGACTATTGTGACAGTGGTCACAGGCTGGGTAGCTTTTCTTCATAGCCAGAGCAAAAAATCCTATTCTTGTGTTGAATTATGAGTAAGATCAATTTAAAGGATACTGAAACTTAGAGTGTCTTTAGAATTTAAAGAGAGTGGTATTTGAAGAGCATTTCATCTTTAGGTGGAAACAACTGTACTCTGCACACATTAGAGTTGCAAGACTGGGGCCAACTGCTCTGTAGGCATGAACAAAACTCAGCTGTGGTTTTGCATTTCTGATGGGAAAAAGTCTAAATGTCTAACAGCTACATTTGTATTTGGAAATATGCTTATATGTGTGCCCCATCCTCCACCTTACCCCCATATCCCTAATGGAACTTTTAGGACTAAATAAGTTGTGTACCCCCATTATATATGAATTATATATTAATAGCAAAAGCAGCTAAGGAATCATTAACTCCAAAAATAATATCCCAAAAAGAACTTTAATATAAAAATATTTATCTTGATCTTTTCTTTTAAAAAATTATTGTCCATGTTTGTTTTTATAGTTCAGTTTGCATAAAGTCTGGAAACAAATCAGGGTCTTCCAAGTGTTAAAACATGACACCATACCAAGCACAAAATGTTCTCAACCCACAACACATCCCTTAAAATAAATCCCCCTTCCTGCAAAATGGTCACTCTGTTTTACCTCCATTGCACAGTTTTGAAAGATGCTGGACAAACTGGTATTGTGGGAAGAGCCATGTTCAGATTTATCAGAATCTGGAGTTTTCATATTTCTTGGGAACTGAACTTCTCCTGAATGAAAAAATTTGTATTATTACTGCTGTAGACAATAACAGTACTTAAAGGCTTCAAGGACACCCAAAATACCAATACCAAATGCACATAACTGTTCAGTCTATAGAAGGGATTGTTTTTAAAAATATAATTACACAGCATTCATGAAGAGATGCATTCATCTCAACTTTGCAAACCTACAATTACATCTTTTCACATATAGTTACATTTTTAAGGTTGTCATGCCATTTCAAAGTGGCCAGATTTTTCCAGGTTCATTTTGTATTAACACTGCATACCTGTCTGACTGTGCAGCTTCCCTGTGTCTCCACTGCTGCTGCTACTTCCAAGACTGGTGGTACTCTGTGCAAGCTCACTGGCTGCAAGCCCTGCAATTCCTACTTTTTGTGACTGAGAAACACCTGAGATGTGGTCCTCAAACCCAGCAGGGAAGGTGAAATCAGGATGAGTACTTTCTTCCTTCAGTTGAAAGGAAAAAAAGGCAGGCAAGTTCAATGTATCTTAGTGACTTCAAGTCATGTCCTTTCCTTGACATTTACCTAATGCTCCAGAATCTCATCTTGCTTGTTGCATTGTTATTGTCTTATTTTAAAATCTACATCTCCTAGAAATTTATTTGCAGATTTCTTATCAATAATAAATACAAAAACATTTTTACTGACATCCAAAATGTTCTGTCCATCAAGAGAACACAGACCACTAGTAAAATGGATCTAGCCCCCACCCCAGCCAGCCAAGTCTCTCTGATGCGTAATGGTAGATGTCACCCATTAAATATACTTGTGCTTTCTGTGCTTCTTCCACTTGCAAGAGCTCACTCATTTCAGCTACACTGAAAGTCCATGATCTGGGAATGGCTTTTGTTGCTATCTATAGTGGAGACAAATGAGCTCCTGGATCACTTTGTCTTTCCACTAATCCTGACCACAGAGAGTGACTCAACTCTTTCCCTCAAGAAACAGTTATTAAAAAACAAACATTCACATATTTACCTCATCATCTGAATAGCTATATGCTGAGGACACAGCTCCCCACACCTTGCTGGCTACATTAGCTGCTTGTTTCATGCCAGACTTGAGGACATCAATCTTAGGACCAGACAATATATGGTCTAGCTTCAGACCTGACAGGGTTGTAACTACTGCACCCAATGAAGCCTGTGGTGAAGAACGACCCAGGCCTGTTAAAGATATAGAACGGTCTTTTTGGGAACGTGAAAGAGCTAGTTGCTTTGGTCTTCCAGTAAAGGTTTTGGACCTGGAAACAGCTGGGCTTTTCCGACTGGTATGCTGAACATGGGATGGTGGAGCAGAATCTGAAGGCAAGCTTGATCTTCTCTCTAAAGAAGAGGCTTCTGAACTAGGGCAGGCTGCCTCTTGGTTGCTCCCACTCCTGTGCAATTCCATGCTGGAAGATTTGCTGCCCAGGGGACTTTTCAGATTCATGTAACTTTCAATTTCATCTGCCAGGTTGCGTGCTACAACTGGTGACATCAGCTTCTCCTCCTGTTCAGAGACTTTTGGCTCTACAGCCTCAGTTGCAAGCAAAGACAGAGGGTCTAAGCCTACTTGAACATCTTCCCTCTCAACAGGCTTGGGCACTCCATAGAAGCTACTTCTCTTACCCACCATCTCTTTGGATTCTATTTGCTTAACCATGGACTCAGTGATATCAAGAGGTTCTGAGTTAACACACATTGCTTTGACTGCACTATTGTCATGTCCATTTTTGGGCTGCTCTTGACCTTCCTCGAGTTCCTCCAGAACAGGTGATGACCAATAATGTGCCTCCCCAACACGATCAGCCACATGAGTCCTAGCAGCATCTGTACCACAGAAAAATAATCCAACATCTGCACTGTCAAAGCTTTGAGATGTATGTGTATTGGGCGGCGATGTTTTGGGCACAGACAGAGCTGCTGTGAGGATCTTTGCATCTGCCCCCATCATGATTGCTACTTCACTGGAATTGGAGTCCAAGCTGCTTTTCTTCAGCAACATGCCTGCCCTGCTTTCTGTGCTAAAGCTGCAGCTCCTTTCTGGAAAAAGCTTCTGCCTTTTCTTCCCTTTTTCACTTGTTCTCCTGGGAGAGGTATTGTAATCAAACACAGAATCTTCAGGTGGATCCTGAGTTATGAACTGTGGGCTGGATGCAGTTCCTTTCACAAAAAGGAAAAGATATGGGACAACGAAAGGACATTATTCACAGGAAAGTAATTTACACAAAGTACTGTGCAGAAGATACAATAACACGTAAGAGGACACATTTCCCAAAGAGATATCCCAGTAACATACATGTTTTTAAAAAAGTAACATAAAGCCCAGACAGCAGATAATTCAGAACTAAGTAACATGAAAATGACCAGAACATAGAATTCAACATAGTTTTTAAAAGATACTTAATGTAACTGTACTGTTTGACTGTTACAGAAACATGCAATGCTCTTGAGGATTTCTCTATGTCACAGCTGGGATTTATCTATCTTTCCCCATCTTTGTAGGTGAGTGGAATTCATTCTTCTACAATACACACCTTTGCTGTCTTTGTTTTTATTACAATCTTATGGAGACATAGAAACTTATATCCTCCTAAATTCACACTACAGTACAAACCAACGTGCAGGGTTTGCATAACCAAACACCTCAAGATGAAGCAAGAAAAAACATAACTGCAAAATGTTGCAGTATACAGTATCCTCTTCTGCTAAGAGCAGAGCTCCTGCTTAGAGTACTGGCCAGTCATTCAATTCATCCCTTCCTCTGTGAGACTATAAGTTGGAAGGTGACCAATAAGGCCAATTCTCCTCATTTTCCATTCTTCCATACCAGTTCTAGGGTTGTTAGCAAACACTGTATATATCAGTTCCTTATCAGCTATGGATGCAGAGGTAGGAGTGTTTTTATTTTATTTTGCTAATTAATATACCACTCCATTAGTGCAGAAGCACGATTCTGGGCACTTTAATCACAAGTAAATACATTACACAAATGGTAAACAGAAAGTTAAAAACCCCCAACAGCATAAAAACCAAATGGCGCCAGAGACAATTTCCTAGTAATAGCAGGACAGAATGTAAATAATCAGTTAACCAGGTTCAGCATGAAAGGCCTCCCTGAAAAGCAATATTCTGAGTTGCCTCCCAAATGGCAAAAGGGAATTAGATTTGCTCCTTGTTGGTTTTGCTTTGTTTTGCTTTTCAAATTCAGTATTTGTAGACTTCTGGAATATAGGGACTCTCTGAGGACACTGATGCCTCCTTCTCATTCCCTGTTTTAGTTCCATTTTAGCTACTACAAGCAGCACTCACTTTGCTGCTTGAATGGCACACATGGAAATCAGACAGGTCATATACAAAGACGAAACATGGCAGTTTTTCAAACATCAATTTTCTACATTAGGGACCCCTTTGTGCAATATTAGATATCACCAAGGAATGCTCTTCTCTGTCTTCAGTGTGATACACCTGAATCCCCATACCTGGCAGAATATGCACACATCTTCTTTACACCTTCCAGAATCCTGACACAGTGAAGACATGATTTTGAGCCTGGTCAAGGCTTTTATAATTGGCTTCCAGTGTTACAGGTACAGTAAGCCAAGGATATGCAATACTTACCACTGCTGCTCTTCGTTCCAGTGGTATCAAAAATACCAGAAGGAATCTTAACAATACTGCTTGAAGGGTGCAGAGGCACTTTGACTGGATTGACAGGTTCTGCATTAGGACACTGTTTTCCGAAAGACTCAGCAGCCCCACAAAATTCTTTGCAAGAGAAAAGACAGAGATAGGTGAAGTTAGTTGATTTACAAAGAATCCAAACACATTGAGAAGCAGCAAGAGGATCAACAAATGTTATTCTAGAAAATGCAATTTAGACTAAGATGCTCGTTTTTCAACACACTTCACTAAATGACAACCCTGCTAAATGACGGATCCGCATTACGATGACTTTTTGCAATCGCTATAGCGATTCTCAAAACAGTAATTCCAATGGGGGATTTTCGCTCGACGTCAATTAGGTCCGTGCTTCGCGAACCGTTTGTTCACAAGATGATGATATTTCCGGCTCCCCAAAATGGCTGCCCTGTGTTTTCCGGACCCATGCTTCGCAGGGCAGCCATTTTAATAGCTGATCGGTGCTTACAAAATGGCTTCCCTATGGGCAATCTTCGCTGGACAACGAGGTATTTTCCCCATTCAAACACATTAAACCGAGTTTCAAAGCATTCCAATGGGGAAAGAGTTTTCGCATGACGATGATTTTGCTAAACAGCGATTTTCACAGGACAGATTATCGTCGTCATGCAGAGCACCACTGTATACATATTCCGTTTTCCCGTTAAATGTTTGTGTCTCTTACAATTGTTTAAAACCCTATTAACTCACACAAGGGACAAGGGACAGGATTGGCAGACAAATGGGAGCAGCCCCACAGGCTATTTTCAACAGTCAGATCTGGAGTCACCATACGTGTCTTGTACATCTTGTACATAGAAGAAAGTGTTTCAGAAACCAGGTGCTATAATTGAAAAGACCCTGCCGTACATCTCTATGCATTATTGCAGTTCAGATGGCACAGAAATTATTAGTAGGCGTCTATTACCAACAGGATCAAGGATCAGCATTATTGAGTCCCACACCAAGTAAAATTGATAATTTTTGGGGATAATAACAAGACATACAAGACCCATTGTAAATACTGAATCAGGCTTCTAGTCACAGTTCTTTTTAAAAACAAATGCATGCCTTGTTTAGATTAATTAAAATATGGATTTGTTACTGCAATCCCAATGAATTACATACTACAGTGAGTCCAGTGCGGCCTTCCAGATATTGGAAGCTGCCCACCCCAGTCAAGCTAAAATTTATGACATGCGAGTTGCATTAATTAAGGCTGGTGGTTAACTACAGACCAGTAGCGAAGCTCCCTTATTTGGGCAAAGTGTTGGAGCGGATTGTGGCCGGGCAACTCCAGGCGCTGCTGGATGAAATGGATTTTCTGGATCCATTTCAATCGAGTTTCAGGCTGGGTTTTGGCACGGAGACTGCCTTGGTCCCCCTGTACGATGACCTTTGCTGGGAGAGAGACAGGGGGAGTGTGACCCTGTTGATACTCCTGGACCTCTCAGCGGCTTTCGACACCATCAACCATGGTGTCCTTCTGGATAGGCTGGCTGGGTTGGTAGTTGGGGGCACTGCTTTATGGTGGTTCCACTCCTTCCTGGCTGACCATGTCCAGGGGGTGGTGCTAGGGGACAGTTGCTCTGCCCCATGGCTGTTATGGCATGGGGTTCCTTAGGGCTCAATACTATCCCCCATGCTGTTCAACATCTACATGAAACCGCTGGGAGAGGTCATCGGGAAGTTTGGGCTGAGGAGTCAGCAATATGCTAACGATACTCAGCTCTACCTCTCGTTTTCCACCAATGCAGGTGAGGCAGTTTCTGTACTGAACTCGTGTCTGGACCTGGTAATGGATTGGATGAGGGTTAATAAATTGAAACTCAATCCAGACAAGACGGAAGTGCTGTTAGTGGGTGCTTCGCTGGACAGGCTGGAGGGCCATTTCCATGCCCTGAACAGGGTTATACTCCCCCTAAGGGACAGGGTCCGCAGCTTGGGGGTGCTCCTGGACCCCAGTCTAACAGTGGAAGCCCAGGTGGACTCGGTGGCCAGGGGCGCCTTCCACCAGCTGCGGAAATTATACCAGCTACGGCCCTACCTGGATGAGTGGAATCTCATGAGAGTTACACACGCATTGGTAACATCCCGCATAGATTACTGCAATGTGCTCTACGTGGGGCTGCCTTTGAAGATGGTCCGGTGACCGCAACTGGTCCAGAATAGAGCTGCGCGGCTGGTGAGTGGTGCCACCGCCAGGGAACATATCAAGCCGATTCTGTTTAAATTACATTGGTACCAGTTGCTGCCCGGGCCCAATTCAAAGTGCTTGTTTTGACATACAAAGCCCTAAACAGCTTGGGCCCTGGATTCCTAAAGGACTGCCTCCTTCCATATGAACCTACCTGGCAATTAAAATCGCTCTGTTTAGCGATGAAATTGCTTTGCGATGGACTTTTTGCCATCGCAAGAGCGATCGCTTTGCGATGGCCCCTATGGGGGAAATTCACTTTGCGATGATCGCAGGGGAGCGCTCCCCCACGATCATCGCAAAGGCCCCGCCGGCCAGCTGTTAAAAAAAACGGGCTTTGCGCTGCTCGCGGGGAAGCGCTCCCCCAGGAGCAGCCCAAAGGCCCGCCAGTCAGCTGTTCCAAAAAGCCAGCCTTTGGGCTGCTCGTGGGGGAGTGCTTCTCCGGGAGCA